GAAAAAACAACCATTAAAAGAAAAAAACACCAAACAAACACAATGTGTTGACTCCAAACACGGGTCACCCAGGTGCTAGGTATGTATATTATATGTGTGTGTGAGCTTTGACCATCCACTCATTTGCTGTGTATCTGGGCTTTGACTCGTCCTTCGCACGTTCCAAGAGCTCCAGCGCACGCTGGGTCGTCTCGAGGGCCTGGCTGCGTGGACTCGTTCCATACCGAAAGCTGAGGGTCCCAGGCTTGGGCGTCGTAAACCAGGGTCCCAAGCCCCCGGTCTCTACCAGAACGAAGGCGCCCGGTCTCAAACGACGACGGAACGAAGGCGACCGGTCCGCACGGTCGCGGTCACTCGGTGGCACAGGAGATCGTCGGAGATGAACGAGTCACCGTGAATTCGGAGATGGCGAGTTATAGTGGGTTGAGAGTAGATGGCACAAGTTACCCCAAGGTTCGGTGGTTGATATGGACCCCAAGAAAACAAGACATCTTGGGGTCTGTGCCATCGAACCTCTGAAACCACTGTTCCAGGAGTCACATGGAGGCCAGGGCGGTGTGAAACGTCCCATCCAGGGGCCGTGGAGGTGACGTACGGGGCACTATCCTCCAAGTTCGGCACTATCCTCCAGGTGACTCCTGGTTTGATGGGTGTTTGCATGTGTTTCCTCGGCTCGAAACGTGGCATCGGATGGTGTTTGGCACTATCCTTTAGGCATCGGTTTCAAGGTGAAACGTGGCAAACAATGTGGCTGAGGCATTGCCTGCACCAACTGAAAAACCAAACAATCATGGGGCTCGTGGAGGCACATCCTCTGAAGGTCGTGTTTTTCAGGCCGGCCGCCCCCCGAACCCTATAAGCACTGAGCACCTATACCTGGAGGTAGTTGGAGCCCTCCGGTATGCGTCTATCCCAGAAGCATCCGGAAACCCACGAACGTACCAGTGATGCCTGTTCCAGTGGCCCTTTGGAACGAGTCCCTGGACGCACGATCGTCACAATGACAGTAGAAAGAACTCATGATTTGAGTCAGTTGGGCTCTTGCGAGCTTCCTAACACAGAGAATTCCGGAGACGTCAGAGATGTCACACGAGTATCGAACTCTACTTGGAAGCTCTCAAGATGTTCACTCCCATTGCCACTATACCCGGACCCTCCTGCCTGGGTGTCCTCGCTGGACGCCCCCCAGCCCACTACTATGTGGGATCTCCAGCCACAAGACCCAGACCTATACCTGGCGTCCAGGACACTCATCCAGGATGGTCCAAGTAGCTATACCTGGCGGTACTCACTCACCAACCTGTGCCCACCTGGCGGTACTCCTGGCCTCTTGGTACTCCCGGTGCTCAGCCCGGCGTTGTGCGAGGGCCTCGCTCATCTGCACGTCGAGATCCTGCGATGTCACTCCGGAGGCTCAGTGGACGCAAGAGATCGCAAGATTCGGTGAGCAACCTTGAAAATGAGGTGAGCGACCAAATGATCCGTTTTATGTTAAAAACTAAACACTGTAGGATGTTGGGGGTGGCTCAGGTGCATGCATGGACCAATGTGAACTGTTTCTGCTGTCCAACGCAGAACTGTGGAGCTCAATCCGAGGCTGGTCGTTTGCGTCCGTGGTGTTCTGAATTGCCCCCGCATGGCGAACCCAGTCTTTCTAAATTTGTGTGCAGCATCTAGCGACACAAACGATTCAAGCATCGGCAGACCAGCCTGAAATGGGCCTCGAAAAGAACGATAGTAATTTACTTGAAGCATAGCCTGCCCAACAGAGTTCGGAAAGCGATGTTCCTCCATGATGGAGGCTCTCGTCATAGCTTCTTGTTTACCAGCAAGTAAGAACTCAGTGCTTCTCCCAGGGAATAGGACTATACAGAGCTGTATAGAGCTCCGAGATGCCTTCGGCATCCATGATGCGACAGGACAGAACTCCTGAATGGTCTTCCTCAAAGCAGCCACCTCCTGAGCCAGGGACGTCGCAAACAGCACACGTCGCAGAGATGCTCTGAGCTTCAAAGAAGAAACCTCCGAACCAAAACGCTCTGGATCCCTTTCAAGTGCCTATCGGTTCTACAGTTTTGCTGTAACATTGAGACTACTACAGATGGAGAAACGATGCCCAAAACTACTTGAGGGTCATAGCTCCCTAAAAAATGGATCAAAGCAAGGACCTCAATTAATGGTACTTTCCTTTCGATTGTAGCTAGGGCCAAGGGTGCAAAATTGCATAAATCGAGCCTGCTCAGAAAGCAACCTGCTCCAAACCAAAAACATCACCAATGAACTCGGGTACATTTAAAACAAACCTTGGCAAACCCGTTGTGTCCTGCTGAGCCTGCAGCCTGTCGGCTTTCACCTGCAACCCAGTTGCGCGTCGAATCTTCAGCCCGTGTTGAAAAAGGTGGAGGAGCGGTGGTGGAGATCGGATCAAACTTCCAGAGATCTGAATGACCAATACCCAACACACACTCCATGAGATTGGAATATATGCCGATCAATTGACCCCTTTCCCACCACCCCAATGTATGCAAATATGATATCATATGATATCCCTCGTGAGATTCCGAGGGCTCTAAGGAATCCCTGAAGAAAACTGACTAAATGTCCCTATAGAAAGTGCATCGTCCAGCATCATGCATCAAATATGGCAGTCCCACTGGCAGTCCCATGAAGTCTCTGGGATAGGAACCCTCGGCACCCGGAGAAAACGCGCTCCAGGATCCTCTACGGTCAGTGGTTCGACTGTTGGACAGCAAGCAGTGCAGCTGCATGGAATCGTTTTAAATTCGAACCTGGGGTACTGAACTTCGAAGGTACTGTCTCTGTTATTTTCCCGGTATGTCTTTTGCTTTTGCATCGGGAACTGTGGCTGAGATATGTAGCTGTGGCTGGACAAGAACTCTCACCTGGAAGGATCATCGACTGCGGGTACCGGCTGGCGCCACGGCTTGGTACCACAGAAAGCACCGGTTCCCGAGAAACTGCAGCTCTCCCAGCGTTGTACCAACTCACTAAGTATGGAAGTAGAGATCAAACCTTAAACCCCTCTTTACAAACCGGGAAAATCGGCTTCAATCCTTTGGGATGATATATGAATAAGGAAGACAAGTAGGCAGTAGGCACATGACAATCTTTAAAACTTAGGTACTCTCCAGTATATATCGGAAGAGCGGCTCACCAGCAACGCCTGTCATGTCAATCCACACCTCGTCCATGATCTTGGAGAGGTCCTGGCTTAGGTGACCCAGCAACAACTGAGTGAAACAAAGGTTTGCACAATACAAACAACATGGGTATGTGACAATATATGTATACAGTACATATATGAGAATTGGACAATCATATGATACCAATCTATATATAATTGATAAATAACAATTACTAACAATAATGTTATTGTTATATATTCTGGCAATTATATAGTTTGAGTCAGACCCCTCTGCGTTCCTTCCTTTGCCAACCAGGCAATCAGTTACCGGGGCTTTCCTACGGTCATGGGACCTATGGACGTCATTTTCAACAGGGAAGACACTTCTTTTGAACCGCCACCGGTGTGGATCGTGTTCGCAGCCTCTGATGCTTGCCGCAAGGTTGCCGCATTCTCGTCGGAGCTGCGCTTCTCCCCCTGCATCGCGCTTTTTTTCGGCGAAAAGGCAGCGCTGAACTCGGCGGATGAGCTGCATCTTAACAATGAATCATAGGTGAACAGAAGCTGCAAAAAGTGAGAAGTGGAGTCACGCGTACGCGTGTTTTCACCTGATGCCTCCAGCTACATCACGGGTTAGTTACCCTCGAAACCCACTTGAAACATGCCCAACCACTCAACCTCATCGTGTATTTGGATGCAAAGGGCAGCTTTGAGGTGGAAAAGCAACTCGTCTTCTGCACTGAAGTGGCCTAACCTTGTGGGTTTTTCTGTAAGGGTAGGAGGGAACTGACCCCCAGGAGCTCGATATGTTCAAAACGGAGATTTGCAAAACACACACTCCATTGGATCTCCCGGAATCGTGATGCAATCCAATTAGAGATCCAATTAGACTCCGAGAACTCCATTGGATTTCCAGAATCAAGATGCTCTTCAGATGCAGATGCTCTTCAGCTGGTGATTTGCCGTTGATTCTCGAAGATTCGCTGGGACTTCGCCTCACCCTGCGGAGACCCGGCGCCTGGCACCATTGGTACTTCCGGTCCTGGCGCACCCTTGCCATGTTCATACTTTCATGCACAAAGTAAGCATCCCAAAGCTCACCAACTGAGTTCCTGCTATCTGCACCTCCAAAATCATACTTCAAATGAGCAGCCTGGCAGGATCTTCCGTGTTTAGGATATGTTTGCCATGGTCAAAACAAGTCAATTCTCCCACCATGTGGTGGATGACTAACGAGTTTCAAGCTTGGGAGCCGTGATCGGAAACAAAATAACACAACACGTGTGCCGAATTACTTGACGAGTTGATGACCTGCAACGATTATGTAAACAGTATAAATACCAGCGCCTTCAAAGGGGTCACCAATGGAAGCCCCTACACTACTTGGGGATCTCCATTGGACACCCTTTGAAGGTCCAGGTAAAAAACGAATCATACATGTCACTGAGTCATACCTCCCAGCAAGATTCTGTCCTCTCCAATCTGCTCTTGCTTGAGCATTTGGATCATCTCCTCAGAAACGGTCGGCCCTGCCTTGGAACGGCCAAAAGAAAGGGTCGGGACCTCGTCACATCTGGGGAGTCTGCACATGGAAGATCCCATGGAGGTGCTTCCATGGAGACGTGAGAGTCTGCACATCCTATCAATTCCTATCACATGTCTTGAGAGATTCTTAGGGAGTCTAGTTACACCAGCACCCCAAATCCTCCTCCCGCCCTTGTCAGCACCCACATGTTTCTTCCGATCTTCTGCTCTGGACGTAGGGCCTATCTTGCTTGCAGGATTGCAATCCACAATACATGGCTTCAATATGTTTCAATCTATGTTCGGTGGTCTTCAGAACCACTAATGTCCTGCGAGCTTGTCTTTTGGCCCGGATCCAGCTAGGAGCCTCTTTGGTCCAAACCTAGCACTCCTATGCATTCATTTGCATCATGCTTCCTACGCGAGGCGCTGCTTCCCACGCCTTTGGCTGCGTGCGCGTGCCATTCGGCTGCCCCCCCGGTGTGGTAGGTCTGGGCGGCTTCGTCATGCTGGTGCAAGTGCTGCTGACGCTGCTGACGTGCCCTGCCACCGCGGGCAAGGCGTCTGGAAACCTCAGGATCGGTCTGTGTGTGGTGCATTTGGATTGGTATCTACCTGGACCTTCAAGAGGTGTCAAATGGAGATCCCCTAAGTAGTGTAGGGGCTTCCATTGGTGACCCCTTTGAAGGTGCTGGTATACGGTATACAGATAAACTGAGTAATGCCTTGAGATTTGCTTGCACCCTCACAAGAACCTGGCTATGGTGATAAAAACTAATGCAGGTGCTGGTAATGTGTTCAATGGGCAATGTATCGGCAATCGTATGAAAAATGTACAACCGTGCAGAGGGCACGTTTATGTATAGCCATTGGATTTGGCGGATGCCTGCTTGATTTCTCTGTCTTTTGGACAGTTGAGACATGTCCAACATATTCCTTCGAAGATTATTAGCAACCCCGGAACCATGAGAAGAGAGCACAGGATTTGAGACTCAGCTGGCAGTCTTCTTGTGGTGGAAGCTATTGCAAAGTCATTCACCTTAGTTGGTGGTTTGGATTTCTGACCCCCCCCAAAAGGGACACACACAAAAGAACTTGCAATTTGCAAAGGGTTCACGGGTTGATCGCATGAATTTGAGAGAGAAACTGCTGAGGGAAAATCCAGCATACAGTAATTATATGTAATTCAACTAATTACACAATAGTGAAGGATATCTATGTCTTCCCCACTCGACCCAAAGCAAGTGGTCACCCAAGATGTACAATGAAATGCTGTCCAAGAGATGTCAGGGCACACACGGATTCAGTTCCAAAGCCGTGAAGGACAATCTATCGTGTGGTGATGAATTTCGCCGCAGCCATGTTTGAAGGGTATGAATTTCCCTGCTTGACCTACCTATTACCCATTGTGTTGTCACCACGAGAGTTTCGGTCTTAGGAGGCCAACCTGGAATGAGGCATGGCCAATCCCTTTGGTCGGCATGGAAAGTAAAGCTTTAGTAAGCGAAGCTAGGCCGGAGCCGAATGGAGCCAGGAGACCGACCGGGCACGACCTACTCAGGTCGTTCGCTACGTCCCATGGATCGGGGGCTCCAGGTCCCATGAGACGTCACAATCTGTTTTGTCTCTTACCCCTGTGAGACCTTCCTCACAGCCTTCTTCCCATTGCTCTTGACTGAGGACTAGAATCCACCAATTCTCTGTCTCTAAACTATAGGGGCATGGCTCAAACCCACCAGGCATCGTCCAAGTGACAACCCACCAGGACTGGATCAACCTCAGCTGGGATCCCACCAACGAAGTCCAAATTGTGGATCTCACCACCCCTAAAAAACAGCTGCATCCTGATGTCAGATGAGTCCCCAACGAGCTTGCCACTTCAATATCCCTACACCTCCAAATACCTCCTCAGAAGGTATTTAGACCCTCCAAACCCACCCCAGTCCCACCTTCTCAGAAGGTACTTGGAGGCCTAGGGTATACTGGTGACCCGTCATCACCCGTCCCAATTCCTCTGGTGTTTGCGACTTCGATCGTTTTCAAAGTCGGATCCATGCTGATGCGATCCCGATCGAAGCATGGGCCTGTCAAGGTGGGCCTGGTCCTCCAGTGATCCTCCCCTGATCGGTGCCCAAAACCATCCAGAACCCATACAATAAACATTAATTACACATTAATAAACTATAATAAACCAATATACATAGACTCATAGACCTTAACACTGGACACAGCCGGGACACGGGAAAAGTCCTCCACGGTGGACCCTTCGCCACAAAGACACGGGTCCCGGTCGCCACTCATCTTCGCTCCATGGAGGCACCTCAGCGCTTTAGGAGGTGGTCTCAGTCAGCAGCGAGATGAGGTCGATGGCTGCCACCCCAGCACAGCCCGTCTCCATCAGTTCGTCGATCGTCTCCCCGTTCACACCGCCTAAAGGCGGGAGTCTCGGCCCAGTTCTCGGCCTGTGGTGGGCGTTTCCAGTAGCTAAGTGGGCAGGTCGGCTGGGTGGGCGGGGACAAGCCTGAGGTCTCCATACCCAGAGCATCCATGTACGGAAGAGTTGCTTACATTAGGATAATAAATATGGGGTAATCTGTAACTATTCTTCTGGATAAGACTTTGTTACGGTCTCCATACTCTTGAAGACATCCAAGGACAAACCGGGATCCCCAAAAAACATTAATTTAATGTGTGTGTGTGTGTGTCTCTCTCTCTCTCTCAAATACGAAAGCATCGCAAAGCCAATGAAGCATTCTAAATCCAGTGCTGAACAATCTTGAACAAGTCATCCTCAACCCGATAGGATCCCCTTTCAGAATGGAAAAAGTATGGAAAGCAAACCGGCCGTGGTCCACTTCCTGGGTGGAGGGTGTATGGGAGAACCGATCGGTTCCAACCGAGCCGTGAAGAATGTATGAGCTTGACACTCATGGCTCCAAGATCCGGCTCATGGGCCGATTGACTGCGCGCTTCACCTTTTAGGACGGCGTGCATCGGTTCAACAAGACCCAGACATGGATTGCAAAACCTCAGAGACTGAGGCGTTTTGAAGGTTGAAATACCATCCAATATCATCTAATCATAGAATATGATTTGTCGCCTGAAACTAGAGCCATACATCGTCACCATGCTCAAAACGATCATGGGGACGCTCCCCCCAAAAAAACATCCGGAGCCAGGTTGGGGCAAACCAGGCCCTCAACTCCGCACTCGGTTCCGTTGGGCGCCGGATGAACCGATCCGAAGTGCCCAAGGCGTAGATCGGCAGGGAGGGATGGGACTTGATCACCGCCTTCAGCTTCTCCACTCCCACCTGAGCCGCGGGGCGCCACAGTGGAACGGCTTAAGCCGGTCCAAAAGAACCTTTCAGAGAGCGCAGCCCAAAGAGGATAGGGTCTCCTTCGGCTGAACTTCTCAATTGTTGTTGTTTCCGTGGAAGATGTATTATTAATTTAATGATCCATATTAACAGGTGTTGAAATCTTAGTGGCGAAATCAGTCCCCCGAAAAGGTTAAAGGTTACCCACTAAATGGGTAGGTTACAGGTTTGTACCTCACAAGGTTTTGCCATGTTCGCCTAATTATTGACCTGTTGGAGGGTCCTGGCAAGGGAATCCAAGTCTTGGTCAAACTTCTGTTCATTTTCCAAGGTCTACCACAGTGTTGGCACAGCCCAGTGAACCCAAATGCAAACCCAGTGACACCTGGATGCCCTGGATGCGACCGCGTTGGAAAAATGGGCGAGAACAGCACGGCATCGCAGCCCTCCTCCTGGGCCAGGGCCACCGAGCGCTCCGAATGGCAGGCGCAGGTGAGGAGCCAGTGCGGATGTCGCTGCCGTAGGCGTGACACCTTGGCACATGAGACAGGGAGGATCAGGGAGGGGTGAGGAGGTCATGGTAGGTTAAGTTGAACTATATATTCTAAGGGTTGAGCAATGCCTAACCTACAGGACCCGCACTTTGTTGGGCGGTCTTTGCGCACCCAAGAGGCCGATGGATGGGGGGGTTGATCTCCGAAAAGGACTTTCTCAGATTCTCCCAATATTGTTCAACTGTGCCGACATATAGAGACGTGAGGGCGCTGAGGCCTTCATTTCTCTTTGTTTGAAACATCCGAATGGTATTCAAGAATCTAATCTACTTGCGGACCTCTGTCAGCCCACCTTGCAGTTCCCAACGACCCTCGGCGACTAGCGCCTCTTGTAGCAAGCCTTCTGGACAGTGCAGGCCATCAGCCTTCGGCTCTCTCAAGCTGTGGGGGAGACTGAGAACTCGATGCCGAGATGAAACTAAGGTTGGAGTCTCTGTGTGATCGTGAGTTTTCCACTTGTCTAGCAATTTTCACTGCCCATACCCGAAGCAAAGCACAGCAAGACATGCATGACCGTCACACAACCAAAAAGCAGCCTGGGCCCGGCTCCTCCACAAACGACCCGACGGGCTGATTTCCGAACGTGTTTTGCACGTCCGCAGGATTGTCCATCTGACTGGCACATTTTTCATAATTGTTTCAAACTTGTTGCTGCTTTGAAGGCTGCCTCATGATGAATTTCCGTTGGATTTCACAATTCATGTGTGATTGGCAATGTGGCAGACTCCTAAAAAGATCTCATTTTCAGGAAGATCATCGTCATCAACCCCTTCGGTTTTTTCACATTGTGCGCAGCGTGTGCGCTGTGAGTGTGGCGAGCGAGTCATGCTTTGCACTTTCCCATCGCCACTGCTACGCCCTTAGCGTGCTTCCAGATCTTCACACTGTTATGAATCCGATGAGAAGTGCTGCCCCACCCTCCACCCCAATTTAGTCACATCCGATGACAATGTTGTGAAGTCGATGACAATGTTGTGAAGTGGACTACAAAGTTGTGACAATGTCGATGACAGTTCTGCACATTCAAAAAAATTATCCCGGCAAGAGACCCCAAACAGTGTGTGTGTGTGTGAGGTAGATAAGCAGAAAGTCTAGAGATCTAGACGCATTGGGGTCCAGAGAGGTGATGGTGGTGATGAAGGTGGAGATCGTGGTGATGGTGACGGTGGTGGTGAGTGTGACTGCGAGTGAAAGTGTCAGTGTGAGTGTTTGTGAGTGTGAGTGACAGTGAGAGTGTGAGTGTGAGAGTGAGTGTGTGAGTGTGAGTGTGAGTGTGAGTGTGAG